CCCAGCTGGTTGGCCGCTTTGAACCAGGCCAAGACCGGTTCCACCGGGTCCGCCTAGAAGAGGAAGGCACCCGACTCCTCTCAAGGTGGTCCTAGTAAAGCCAAGGTTTCATCTGCTGATGCGTCCACCGCGGCTACTGTAAAAGAAAAATCCAAGACTTCTGACATCTGTGCTTCAACCGGCACCCATCAAATTATGAAAGCCCCTCCTCCTCCTCCAGCGCCTGAATTTGTTAAGCATATGGTATAGCAGGGCAAAATCAACAATACTCTCCGGGATGCAGTATGTGCCCCCGAGGTCTTCTACAACTAATCTCTTCTCACCCCGGCCCAAGTAAGGGAGGTGGAAGATTTGGAGTTGTGCTGTTTGAAGATGGCTGGGTTGGCCAGGCCTTTGCTTATTCTGAAGCAGAAATACCTGCGTACGTTAAGTGAGGCTGCCGCATCTCGGGAAGAGAAAGCCAAGACATAGGCGGAGCTGCTGAAGGTGAAGGAGGATTTGTCTGCTCTGAAAAAAGGATCATGACGATACTACCACCAAGCTGACCCAGATTACCGCCGACCATGGAAAGTGCCTAGATGAAAAGGCGGCAGAGATTGAAAAAATGCATGGCTTTCAGAGAAGTTATGAAAGATTGGAAGACAAGGTGAAGGAAGCTGAGCGTACCGCTTAGCTTTGCCAAAGTGAACTGGAGAAATCAGTCACTGGGTCTTTCTATAATGCCTTGAATCAACTCCAAATACTCAATCCGAAAGTCCCCTTAAATCTGGTCGGTTTGAATGCTCGCGCCTATGTTAGCAATGGCCAAATCATCACTCCTGCTACCGATTCTCCTTCCCATGTGTCAAACGTCCAAACCGAGAAGGGTGTTGGCTTCGAAGATGGCGAGGAGGCAGTTGACAAGCCGGAGAAGGAGGTCGAGGTGTTTTATCAATCCGGCAAGGAGGCCCCAGCTTCAGAGGATCCTCCTACCATAGAGATATCATGAAGGGCCGGAATGCTGGTTGAATTATGTAACTTGCTGGGGTCCTTTGGGCCCCTTTTTGATTCCGCTTGAATATTGCCGATTTTACTTCGGTTTTAATTTTGCTTTCCATACATTTATTACTTCGTGAATATCTTGCTTTATGATTTATTCTTTGCCTTTCTTAATTCCTAATTCACCATAGATGCATTTATCTAGGTTGTCGAGTTTTCGGAACTGGGCATGTCGGTGCAGCATTACCTTTGCTTTTTTGATTAGCCAACTCCTTTATATTTTGTCGAAGTGTATGACTTAACCATTTGTGGCATATGCGTGACCCGGATAACGTTCCTTTCCATGCCCAGATTAGCCCTAGGCCTTAGGAGCTCCTAAGTTGCTTAGATTCAAATCCGATTTATATAGATATATTTTACCCTCGCACTTGACGAGTGATATACCGAGTTTTCATTATTTGACAATATTCATTGGGTGAACTCTGCATCCCAATTTAGTTTTATATACCCGTGCATCATACGAGGTTTTACTTCATGACCTGGCTGAAGTCAGTGCATTAGACGGATTCCGTTTTATGTCAATTCGATGATGCATGTTTGTTTAACTTACTCGTTCTGGTAAGCTTGTATACATAATGGACCTTGTCTATTTGACTTGGCCTTTTAATTGAATTTGAATTTCATAACTCAATTTATCTAAGGTAAAAACAATTATGCCATCTGTCCTTTTTTGGTATCATGACCAAAATAGGGACAGTTTGACTTGATCAGAGTCATTACGACAAATTGTATTTGTACCTCGGATTTGTATTGATGCATCAAAAGTAGACAAGGATAGATCTTAGAAAAGAAAAATTCCTCATCTATTGATATCAAATTGCAAGCTACATGAATTTGCCGGCATATTCGGCTTTAATTAAATCCCTAATAGAGGAAAATGTAATTAAAATAGCACTGCGAGTGAATGAAGGTGGATCCCGGATTTAGCTATAGTATTAGAGCTGTCAAAATGGCCCGGCCCGACCCATTTAACCCTAGCCCATGTGGGTTAGGGCCAAAAAGCCCACAATGATATAGGGCCACATGGGTCAAAAGCCCTATGGGTTAGGGCCAGCCCGTGGGTCTTCAAAAATTTAATGTGTATTTTTTTTTTGTTGAACAAAAAAGCTCATACTTAATTTTTATTAAACTGGTTGAATTTTATAAATAACACGGTTAAGAAATTGTCACCTATCAGAATAAAAGGTGAAGAGTAAAAACTCCCAAACATTATTGAAGCTAAGGGTCATTCATATGTAATGTCCATGAAACCCAATAATATGTGTTAATGACATGCCTAATAACAGAGTGTTTGCACTTTAACAGAGTGAATTGGCCTAATGTTCTTTTCGCCTAATAACAATGAAAGAGTAGCTAAGAACACTAAAATTATTAACAACAAAAATTAACTAAACATTTTTCAGAGTCAATTCATCCTTTTTCTCATGATGAAGTGACTGTACTAGTTATTAAAACACTATCAGAAACCTAATTATGGATCAAGATCGTTCTAAGACAACCGAGAAACCGAGGAACTGGTAACAGTTATGCATCAAATGATGTCTTCTGGCACCAATAATTCCTACACATTGAGAAGTGATAAACCTGTCAAAATCCAAGAAATATATAAATTTATGTTGCTATGTTACAGCATATAATATAATTATTTTGATTTTTAATTGATAAATCCAGCTAAAAATCCCCTCCCAAATCCCAATAGCATATGAACAATCAAAGCGAAGCTTTTATCTACTAACTTTTCACTCATCAACAACATAGGCCCAGAAACAAACTCACAAGCTTCAATCACCAAACCACAGAACAACTTCAAAATCCACAACATACCCATCAATGTTTAAGGCATTCAGGCATCTTGGGTTCTGTGATTAGATTCAAAATTACGCCAGCCATTTGGAGCAGTCGATGATGACTCAATTCAACTCATGCGTACACGCTCTGCTGTAGCAGCATCGAGAACAACCTTAGGTAATTGAAAAAAAAATATAAATTATAGGTAGTAATTATATAAATCATAGCAACATAAATCAACAAGAATAGAAAGAGAATTGAAAACCAATATGGATCTAAATAAATTATGGGTTGTCAGAAACCCATTTTAGTGGACTCCATTGGGCCAACATCCACAAGAGAACCCCTCTAATGCAAGTCCCTGTCCTAGTGGACCTAAACAGAAAACACTTGTGGGTTAACTGTGACCAACACTACTCATCCTCAACGTACCAAGCACCCTTTTGCCACTCTACACAATGCTCCAGAGCCAACACTCACCTCTGCCATACTTGGGTCTCTGTATCCAGACCAGAATGCCATAGCAACACTTGTGGTCTCATGTCCTAAGAATGTGGTCTCATTTTTGTAGGTGACAACCAATTTTATACAAATAACACAAGATTATCTGGTTCTTAAGAAACTGAGACAACCCAAATCAATAAAAAACAGTTGATCAATCCATGTGATTTTGATTTTAATTAACCAAACCCACAACTTAACTTTCAAGATCGTGTCAAAAATCAAAATCAACAAATATATGTTGTCAGGCTTTCAATTAAAGCGAGAAATAACAAATATATGTTGTCAAATTCAAATTTAATTAAAAATGGCTCACTAAACAACAATAAATGAAGAAAGGGCGAGAAATCGCTCAATTCCTCGGATGCTTGATGAAATAAGAGATTACCAACAAAGTAAAAAAAAAAATCAGTTTCTAACTCACTGATTATTTACTAAAGCACAAAGCACACTCACTAAACAAAAACATGGAGAAGAGTCATCTAACCTTGAATAAGTAATGGTCGAGGTGCTAAAACTCAGTGAATGCTTCTCGCACCCATTTCCACTAGGGTGCGAAGTCCAGGTTCTGAGAAGCGATAGTGTTCAACTCGTCGCTGACACCTTCAATGCCTGGTTTTTTCTTGGCAGTACCCATAAGTGAAGAGGGTTTGTTGAATTTGGGAGAAATGGGTCAAACTAGGGTTTTGAGTTACGTTTTGATCGATCTCCAGAATAGAATTGAAATAGTAAAGCTCGTTAGGTCGCGAATTCTTAAACATGAATGAGCCAAAGTGAAAAGTATGAGTAAATAATTTGTGAATACTGCAAAGGGGAATGAGGATTTTCCTGAGAAAATCATATATTTTGACGGAAAATGAGTCTGTGTTATGAAAGGAGAGAGAGATGTAAAATGAGTTGGATGTTTTTGATCCACGGGCTAGCCCTCACCTAACCCAATAAATGAAAGGGCCTTTGGGGTTAGGGCTTAGTTGGCCCTACCATGCATAGGGCTAAAAAATTAATAGGGCTTTGACAGGGCTAAATGGGTTGGCCCTAGGACTGTGGCCCTTTTTGACAGGTCTATATAGTATATCTTAAACTTATCCGCATTCCAGGTTCTCTTAATTCCTTTTCCTTCTGTCGTTTCCCTTGCCGAGTTTTTCTTTAACCCGATATGGGCCTTCCCAATTCGCAGCAAGCTTTCCATCTCTGGCATTCTTGTTGCCAATATCTGTTCTCCCGAGTACCAAGTCATTCTTCTCAAAATTTCTTGGTCTGACTTTCTTGTTATACTTTGCTGTTGTTTGTTGTTTAGTCATCATATTCCGACAGTGAGCTGTAACCCTAGCTTCATCCACAAAGTCTAACTCCTCAGTAAGCATTCTACTGTTTTGTTGTTCGCCTTGTTCAAGACTATTCAGTCTTCTCCAGGAGGGTTCTCCAATCTCTACCAGAATCATGGCTTCACATCCATACGTCAATCTGTAAAGGGTTTCCCCAGTTGCAGTTTGGGTGCTTGTTCTGTAACCCCACAGCACAAAGTATAGTTGTTGAACCCAGCTTTCTTCTGCATCAAACATTCATTTTTTGAGACCTTCCACAATCACTTTGTTGGCTGCTTCTACTTGTCCATTCGATTGTGGGTGTTCCACATATGCGAAGTGATGCATGACGTGTAGGACTGTCATTAGCTACTGAAATCTCTTATCAGCAAACTGTGTTCCATTGTTAGTAACCAGCTCAGCTGGGATTCCGAGTCTCGAAACAATGTTTCGCTCAAAGAATCTTTGTACTCGAGCCGAGGTGATCGTGGTGACTGGTTCTGCTTCTATCCACTTTGTGAAATAATCCACAGCCACGATCAGCCACTTAAGTTGCCCTTCAGCAGCTTTGAAAGGTCCTAGTAGGTCCATTCCCCATTTGAAGAAGGGCCATGGAGCCGAGATGCATTTCAACTCTTCAGGTGGTGAAAGAATCAGCTTGGCATGCTTCTGGCAGCTATCACATTTCTTGACGTGTTCTTTGGAGTCTGCCCCCATTGTCGGCCAGTAATAACCAGCTCTTAGTGCCTTTCTGGCCAAGGCTTTGCCTCCCATGTGATGGCCGTTTATTCCTTCATGGATCTCGGCGAGCACATACTCTACTCCGTCCGAGTTCAAGCATTTTAGTATGGGGTTGTGCAAACCTTTTCTAAATAGTTGGTCATTCACGACTGCATATTGTGTCGCATCTCGGACTAGCTTCCTGGCTTCCAGGTGGTCTTCTGGCAATATTTCTTTCTCCAGGTAATCTACTAGAGGTTTCCTCCAGTCATTTGCCAAGGTTATCACCATCACGCAACTCGGGCTTGCTATGCTTTGCTGAACCACAGTTCTGTGGTTACCCAAATTCTTGGTGTTGGCTAACTTTGACAAGATGTCAGCTCGGCTATTCTCCCCTCGTGGGATGTGAGTAACCCACACTTCATCGAAGTCGGCCATGATTTGTCGAACCCGACTCAGGTACTTCATTAGCAAAAGACCTTTAGCTTGGTACTTTCCTTCTATCTGCGAAGTTACCAATTGTGAGTCACTGAAGACCTGCACTTTCCTAGCTGCGTGCTCTTTAGCATGCATCAATCCGGCTATCAGAGCTTCATATTCAGCTTGATTATTTGAGGTTGGGAATCCCAAGTTTAGAGAATGTTCAATTGTTACTCCTTTTGGGGTTTCTAATATGATCCCAGCCGCACTTCTTTTATTGTTGGAGGATCCATCTACGTAGACCTTCCATGCACTGCCGGATTCCTCATTTTCCGAATTTATCGACGTTAATTCCATTATGAAGTCGGCCAGAGCTTGTGACTTGATTGCTTTCCGTCTTTCATAAGCTATGTCGTATTCGCTGAGCTCAATTGCCTAGTTAGTCATTCTTCCCGCCAGGTCTAGCTTGTGCAACACCTGCCGGATAGGCTGATTAGTCCTGACGACTATTTGATGACCCTGAAAGTATGGCCACAATCTTCTGGCCGTGACCAGCAAAGCAAAATCCATTTTCTCTAGCTTTTGATATCTGACTTCTGCGCCTTGTAAAGCTCTACTGACAAAGTAAATCGGCTCTTGGCCGTCGTTAGTTTCCTTGATCAGTACAGCACTTATCGCTTCTTCCCCTACTTCCATATACAGGATCAGAATATCTCCTGGGTTTGGCTTCGAGAGGATTGGTGGAGTTACTAAACATTTCTTGACTTTCTCAAACGCGGCTTCACACGCCGGGTTCCATCCGTCAGTTGCTTCCTTCTTTAAAAGTTTAAATAACGGGAGGGCATTTTCAGCAGACTTCGGAAGAAACCTGGTTAACGCAGCTAATCGACCGGTTAGCTGTTGGACTTCCTTTTTTCTTTGGGGTGCTTTCATATCAAGTACTGCCTTGTATTTGTCAGGGTTCGCTTCTATTCCTCTATGGGTTAGCATGAATCCCAAAAATTTCCCTCTTGCAACCCCAAACACGCACTTTACCGGGTTGAGGCGGATGTGGTACTTCCTGAGCTTTTAAAATGTTTGTTCGAGATCCTGGACATGATTCATCATATCAAATGACTTTACGATCATATCGTCAATGTATACTTCTATGTCTTTGTCCAGCTGATCTTCGAAGACTTTATTCATCATCCGCTGATAGGTTGCCCCTGAATTTTTGAGTCCAAATGGCATCACATTGTAGCAATAGTTGGCCTTTTCAGCATTGAAGGCCGTTTTTTCTTGATCCGCCGGGTACATTGGGATCTGGTTGTATCCCGAATAAGCATCCATAAAGGACAACAGACGAAATCCAGTCGAGTTATCTACTAGCTGGTTTATGTTAGGCATAGGATAAGCATCCTTTAGGCAGGCCTTGTTTAAGTCTGTGTAATCAGTACAGATTCTCCATTTCCCATTTAGCTTTTTCACCATCACCATATTGGCAAGCCACGTTGTATACTGTATCTCACAAATAAACCCGGCATCCAAGAGCTCTTTGACGTGCTCTTGTAGAACTTGCTTTCTTTCTGGTCCCAGTTTCCTTTTCTTCTGGAAAACTGGCGTGGATCCTGGATAAGCTGCCAATTTGTGACAGCAAAAGGCAGGGTCGATGCCAGGGATCTTTGACGACTTCCATGCAAATACATATGTGTTGCTTTGAAGAAAGTCGGCCAATATTTGCTTACTTTGGGGGTCTATGGCCTTACCAATCCGGGTAAACTGGTCAGGGTCTTGCCTGAGTGCTAGGTTTTCTAGCTCGCCGTCTGGTTCTAGCCTCGACACTACTTCTTCTCTCATATCGAGTTCCACTACACTGACGGGCTTGTTGGGATGGTGCTGGATTATGTTCTTTCCTTGCTTGTCCCTTGCATGAACTCAAGATGGACCTGTATGCCCATCCTCATTTTCCTTGACAGTGTCGAAGTAGCATCCCCTAGACACTTTTTGATCTCCACAAACAGTAATTATTTCGCCTTTACTGCTTAGCATCTTTATCTTTTGCTGTTTCGTGGAAACCAGCATGTCCCACTAGTGTATAGTTGGCCTGCCAAGAATTATATTATATTCTGATGGGAAATCGGCCACTATGAACCTTACCCGTTCTGATTTGAACGCTTCTTTGGTTCCCAAGGTCAACCTGAGATCTACATAGCCTTTAGGGGGCGTATGTTTCTCATTAAAGGCTATCAAAGTAGTTTTGCAAGGTTTGAGGTTCTCCTCATCAAGGTTCATCTTTTTGAAAGCGTCCCATAGGATGATGTCGGCACTACTCCCTACATCAACAAAAATTTTCTTAACCCGGCAGTTTACCAGAGTACCTGCTATAACAAGTCTGTTAACATGCCCGGGTAACACGCCATGCATGTCCTCCTTTGTGAAATAAAGCAAAGGGGGATCTGGCTTGCTTGAATCCTCCTTGAATATGGGGCGATCCCGAATTGAAAGGACCTCCTTCAAGTACTTTCGTCTTGCACTTATGGTGTCTCCACCTCCTCCAAGGGCTCCACTGATTACATTGCAATCAAATTCCGCTTCTGGGAACTCGTCAAAGTTGGGATCACCTTTGCGATCTCGTTCATCCTTATTCTTCTTTTTAGGAACCGGGCTTCTACTTCTCTTTCTATTTCCCGCCTTTCTTTTGTTGATTTTGGACCCTTGGGTTTTCATCACGTATTGACGAAACCGTCCATCTCTTACAAATTTCTCCACAGCATCTCGGAGATCCCAACATTGGTCAGTTGTATGTCCCGGTCCATCATGGAAAGCACAATATTTGGACTTATCCAAACCTCCTGTGTCAAATATGGGCCGGGGTCTGTCCACCTTCTTCATCTCCGTCATGGCTACTTCTCTCCAGATTTGAGAACGCGAAGCATTAAGAGGTGTGTATTTATCATATCTCCCAACCCGATCCCTCATGTCTGGGATTCTTGGGCGAAGATCTTTATTCTTACTGTCAATTTGTTCTTTCCCTTTGGGGCTGGCCTCCTCCTTCTTGGGCTTATCCTTTCTTCGAACGAGTTCTGAATTCCTCCAGCGTCCTCACTGGGTCCTTATAGACCGACTTGGCAAGCCTGGATGCACCATCCAAACTCGCCACAATGAGTTGTACATGGACATTCTCTTGCAACCCTGGGACCTGCAATGCAGCGTCCTTGAACCGGTTAAGGTATTTCTGGAGGGTTTCTCCGGGTTGCTGTCGTATCTTTCTGAGAGCGAACTCGGACTTCAGATGCTTCTTACTTGTTGCAAAGTTCAGGAGGAACTTCTATCCGAATTCCTCGCAGGATCCGATGGAATTAGCAGGAACGGTTGAAAACCATGCCTGTGCTTCCCCAGTTAGGGTTATAGCAAATATTCGGGATATAAGAGGTTCATCAATTCGTCGAATGTACATATCCGTGTCGAAAGCATCTATATGCACTTGTGGATCCTGGCTCCTGTCATACTTTGGCAGACATGCCGAATCAAAATCCTCCGGGAAGACAGCGTTTAGTATTTCACCAGTAAAGGGGCTATTGTTGTACTGCCCCTGCTGTATTCCTCCTATACCCGCCGGGTTCTACCCGACCTCAGATATCTTGAGCATTCTGCGCATGATGAGTTCTAACTCGGTCCTCCTGACCGTCAGCTTGCGTCTGATGGTTTTGAGCATTTTGGTCATTAGCAGCCTGGTTTCCCTGGTTCTGGTTCACAGCATTCACGGGGTTGGGTCTTTCATGATTTTCTGCATGAGGAACCTGGTTTGGCTGAATTACGTTCTGAGCTCCTTCTCGGCCATTGGCAGGTTGGCCTTCCACGTCGGCTGTTCCTGGTCTAGCCAGCCGCGTTAAGTGCAGCTCCAGGTTTTGCATCCCCCTGTTATTCTCCTCCCGTATAGCCCTGAAATCTTGCTGCCGTTGCAAGTTATTGCGGGTCTCCAGTTCTGTAATTCGTTCCATGATTGCGGC